AGCAAGCAGAGGGAGCGCATGCTGAGCAGGACGAAGTGAGATCGTCCGAGTGTGGAAGGGAAGCGTCACGCGCTTGGAAACCGACTGATCGCAGCATCAACTAAGAAAACAAGCACGCGCAGGATTCGCTATTTCTTAAGGCGTTGGTGCTGGAAGATCGACATAGTATCCGGCTCTCCCCATCAATGACGCGCCGTTGTCGATTCAGTCCCGTGTGTCGTCGACGGATGCACCTGCTACGAGGGGTAGGTTTCGACAAGGGGTAGGGTATCTGTCTCGCGCGTCCAGCGCAGAGTTCAGGTCGTGCAAAGGGTCGCTGCGATTCTACGACCGGCGTCAAAACAAAATCAACAGTAGGGACTGCAAAGCGTAAAAGCAAGAGCCAATTCTATAGCCTAGTGGCAAAGCGCAAGCTTGTCACTCTGTAGAGGCAGGGTTCGATATCCGATTTCGCGGAAGCGGACGACGAGTACCTTCATATACTCGCATGCCCGACTCTGCGTCATATTTTTGTCAAGCACGCTGCAATAGATATCCAAGGCAGCCTGGATTTTTTATCGACTCGAATTCGTTTCGAAGGTTCAAACGTCCGGCTTCTGGCGCTGCTACGGCCAAGCACGCCCAAAAAGAATAAAAAAATCATAAATGTGGTGTCGGCCGAGATGTGGAGCATAGCGACAGTCGTCATTATTGAGAGAAGAAGGGAACCGATGGCTACCATCGAGAGGAGAACCCCATCGCAGACAGCACCTTGAGAAAGAGGGAGCTTCGGCGATGAGAGCATGGCACCAGTCGACGTCGCTGCGTCATGCGCTCAGAAACAAGCCGGCGGGGCCGATCGAGGCTTCCACCTCAAGATCTCATTGCAACAACCAAAGAGCCTACTCGTTGAAGTCCGTTGGTGTTGGAAGGATTCGGTGCAGGCAGAGTCGTGGCGCTTGCACGGCTCGTAGTGTCTGCTATCTTGCTATCATCAACCACGCTCTGCTGACGCGTCGACGAGGTCGGACTGCGTCGATTGCCAACATATATACATAGGTGCATCGACAGAAATACCGCACGCAGAGAGCACCATGTACGAGCCGTAGTCTGTTGCAGCCTGCTGTACTCGACCATTGCCCGTGGCGGTAGACGCCCTGATCTCATTAGACCGCACGTTCATCGAACTGCGCTTGCATGAAGACATCAGGTTCTCTGAAGTCCCTGGCGCGTAGCCTGTAGTACAGCGAATCGACAAGAGAACTCGAACAGCAACTGATCAAATTGTGCATCAACATCGTGCATTACAAGCGCGATTCTGCGCTGACCACGGTCGATTAATGCCTGGACGCGTTCTGACGACGGCGCCTACGAATCCAAACCGTCGACAATACCGTCGTCGGTCGTCGGTCGCGGGATGCGGTGGGACGTTGGTGTTGGCTTGCGCGGCAACTTGGCGGATCTCGCTTTGGAGACCGAAGGCAGGAGCGTCGGGTACGTGAGGCGCGCCGCGACCTCACACGTGCCAAAATCCCGGTAGCCACGCTCAAGGCGAATGTTGCCGCGCTCGCCCCAGTCGGACCCCCACGCGTTGCGCACCTCGAAAAAGCCGATGGGCGGTGCGTCCGAGCCAGAGGTCTCGGTGCCGTAGCCAACAACGAGCACGGCTTGGTTGAGGGGCCCGCGTGGGCACCACGAGACGACGCCAGCGCTGTACATTCGCCACACATAGCTGCCAGTCGTCGCAAGCGCCACAACAGGCTGCTTCTTGAGCTGCTCGAAAAGCGCGGCCTCGCCACG